GGTTTTGTTGTTGAAATCAAAAAAGGTTCATTTCGCTTTTGCGTTGCCGTTTAGCTTGTTGTTGTCAAGGTGTGAATATTAGCAAAATGTCATATAGGTCAATCATAATAATTTATGATATACCATTTCAGCCTCGGCCTGGAACATGTTAAGGATGGTTTTTTAGTCAGTAGAAGTCAAACACTTCCAAAAACAAATGACTTCTCTCGCCCCACCCAGAGCTACAGAAGTCATTTGATGTTTTTCTCACAAAAATAACACATCGTTGCACCCAGAACTGTTTAAGTTACCATTAATTAGAGCTGTAGGTAGTAAATCAGCCGGGGTTGCGGGGTAAGCGCAATGAGGCACCGCGACCTCGGCCCAGAGCAGGAGAAGGAACAGGGGGGTTTTTAGTCAGTAAAGTCTGACACTCCCTCCCTGCCCGGCCCTGGGCGGGAGAAGACATTTGATGATTTTCCCCTCACAAAAAAATAGGTAGTAAATAATTGGCTAGTACCAATATTGATACTTTAATATTTAATTACTTAAAATACAACCAAAATAAGACAATCAAGATTTATAACAAATTATTACCTATCTGAAACTGAGGTTATCCATGGTCGGCGCTGATCGCCTGTCGATCATAATTTAGTATTTTCCAAAATAATCCTTCTCACATGATTTACTAAAACGAACCCTCGGGAATTCCTATTCTATTATCTTCATAAAACTTTAAAAGTATTAAAAAATATAAAAATAAATCGAAAGAGAATTTGAACTGACCCTTTTTAAAGATGATCAGTAATTATCCTTTCTAAAAATAAAATGGATTCCTGTTAGATATTGTTTCCCATTATAGTTAAGCCGCGTTAACATGAATGAGCTCATAGTTCATTGTTTATTAATTGCATAGTGGTATTAAAATTCTAGTGTAATGGTTATCGAATTTTTGTAATGTTCTAAGCAATTAATCTTTTTTGGAGAATGGAAATAATTTTCCTGATTCTTGTTTTGTTTCGTCAAATGAGCAGACCCATCGTTAGATTAACTCATCGGAACTGCCCGTGGCCACCTGCAACAATTACCTAGATGTTTTAAACGCCTTGCCGGTGTTTGGGCTTAGAGATTCGGATATGCATCTTATATTTGATTGAAAAACTAATAAAAATAATAAATAGTAAAGTGGTGGTGGTCTGTTATACCTAGAACACGCATTATCTAACTGGGAACCGTGTGTTTTTAAAGAAACAGGCGAAAATCGTATGTTAGGGCAACACTCTATAATTTTTTCTTGTGTTCGTTTATGAACATACAATTTGTAGATTGCACAAACCATCGACACAGCCGGTGGCCCATCCAACGCGCTATACATACATCAAGTGACTGAAGATGTGTAATTCAAAAAATCATTAAATAGAAAAATATTTTGTCAAGTCTACACAAAGCTTTACATCCAACGCATTAGTACGTACCCAAAGGATGCAGTTATTACAAGAACGTATTATTACGAAGACGTATCAAGTGGGATCATATTATTTCTCTAACGTCTCTAATATGATCCAACTGCGATGGATCACAAATTACCAGTCTCTTACAATCGGAATGCAACTATCATTTAGACGTGATTGCGTTTTATAACCATTTTATCTTTGTTTCAATTGTGACTACAGTATGACTGCGTTTGGCTTTCTGATCAAATATGTAGTTACTTTAATATCTTTCCTGGGTTTGTAAAAAACTTAAAACTTTATTGATTAATGTGTTATCATTAAGCAAATTCAAAACAAAACGATAAAACAGAAATATTAAATAGGTAATGTGTTCCACGTTAATGTAATTAAAGATAATTGCAAATTCATTATAATTTGATGAGCAAAATTTATTTAAAATAAATAAACAAAAGTACTTTTTTTGTTTATAAAATTAGTAATATAAATTGAACCACTAGTAAGTCAAATTAATGTAATTAGAGCACATAGCAATTTTATTACAATCTGGTAACTAGCTGTATGATGGCTGTTTATTGAGTACGTATAAGCAATTATTGGGTGTTAAAGTAGTTCTCTGATTTGAGACTGCAGGCTCGCGGCTAATTTGAGACTGTAGGCTCATGCTTAATTTGAATCGGACGTGCGTCGATAATATGATGTTAAACTTGTTATTACAAGCCGTTGTGTGTAGTATAGTTTGAGGTGTATATTACTATACTTGTATTATGACTGTGTCTAATATCGCCGGTCGTGAATTTTATGGGGAGTTAAAATATATGTATTAATAAAATAATGATCAATACTTAGCTGTTGCAGTGGCATTTAATCAAATCTGGTTAAAGTCATTGCCGATCTGAAAATAATTAGGAAAACCCTAGGGAAAGGAGATATTTAAAAAATGTTAAGCACAATGTAACCACCTGACCGCCTTGAGTTCTCATAAAATAGTGTGAATGAATACAAAAACAGATTAAACTTGACATTGAAATTCAAATAGGAATTAATAAAATCACGGAAATATCCGTTTTTTAAGAAATCGTAACTTTCTCTTTCCGATATCGTTTTTGTAATATGGAAATATTAAACTTATACGCGAAAGCATAAATTATGAAGTATCAAGACGGCGTTCAATTAATAACATCATTGACATTTAATGCTTGAGAAATTCATAGAAATATAAATCCGTGACGTTTAAGATATAAATAATGTTCATGCTCGCTTGACTTTATGCGAGCCTAGTATCCTTATGAGTAGGTTTCATAATTTCTAATTGATTTTATATTAATTAATGCTGTTTGTTATATGCTGTTTAAAATCCATTTATCTTAACAGTCTTTACTGATACTTCCTGAGCCCGTCAGTAATATTAGAATAAGAATAATTTACATTGTTTATTTTATTAAGTTTGTTTTTATTAGTTTATTTAATGTTATCTCTTAGTGATGTTATGAACTTATGAAATTTTTTCGTCGGTCGGTATTCTGAGATACTTAGTATTCGTTTGATTTCAATATTATTATTTTTCCCCCAGATTTTTGCCAGCGCGAATTGAATGAGAGAAGACCTCTTAAAAATGGGCTTGCTTCAATTAAACTGTAATGTCGTTTAAAATTTTAGCTTCTGGCTAATAGACTAGTGACTCTAAAGCACGTGTTTCTGCAAATTCCTACGATTTCTGGATTCAAACCCAAGGCACGTGTTTAAAAGTCTTATACGAAACAAGAACACAACCGTCAACCCAATCTTATACACAAATATGTAAATTACAACGTATTTAAAATTCTGCCAACTATCTCCTTAACTCTTATACATTTCAGTGCCCGTCCGTTACATTTCAAAAATTCCTTGTTGACGCGTGGGAACTGCGCGCGCGCCGTTCCAGGAACGTGCGCTTGCGATCATCAGATCATTTCTGTACATAGAGTATTTAATACGACTTGAATTTTCCTCATTTATAAATGAGATCAAAGCTTTTTTAAGTTACGAATTATGAATATTTATATACATATACTATGTATTATGTTGGAGTAAACAGTTATGATAATTTGAATGTAAAATGTATTTTTTAAATTGCATAAATTAATTAAGCTAGTTAGTAGTTAGTTAGTACTTGAATATTCTACTATTGACACAAAAAGTTAGTGAAAGTATTTTTTTATAAATGATGTTTAATTTCCATTTGTGTTCAATTATTATGTATGTCCCTGCTTCGCAAGGTTGTCCACATATTTTTCTTTTTCGATTTGTTGTTATTTCCCTATTTTCTTCAAGACATGGTAAAATTCATCTCTTATACACCATCTCGTATAGTATGAAATACAAAAAAGAAAATTGGAGCAGCGAAATCGATTCAGCTATTCTCGTGATTAGCGCGTAACAACAAATTTGACGTTTTACTTAAGTATCAACCTCTGTAGTCTTTGGTCTGCTCAGATTTAAATTTCGAACATACTCATTCTTTTTTCTTCAATTACTCGTGTTGTGTCGTATCTCTTACTTTACTCTTACTCTTTGGCATTCATCGCCGTGTGGCAACCTGCCAACTGGCCAATCATCCAATTTTGGCGTAAACTTACATTACAAAAATTATTCTTTGCACATTTATTATGTTTACACTGCTCTCTTTCGCGGAAACCTTCCCTTTAAACGTCCGCGGCTCGTTGAGAACTGTACGGAAAACGCAAACTTTTATTTACCGTTGCAAATTGTATAATTATTGAAAAATCGATCTTAGTGCTACGCGTTAAGGTGATGGTACAGGGTGAATGTGTGTAAGGTGCATTGGTATCATTGTTTTTTTACATACTACTTTTAATTGATGTTGACGGTAAAATCAATGTTATTGTTTTTTTTCGTGATACATGAGCTTGAGTATTGATTGTGTATAACAGTTATTGCATTATTGGAAATGAAATTATAATTGAATGAAATTGATAAAGTTATTACTTTCTGGTGAATGATGATATGATCATGTTATATTGTTACTGAATTATGAATCTTATTTCACTTAGTATCTTCTACTAATATTTAAACAGTTTTTGAAACTATTTCTTTATGATTCTATAGGTGATGCATACATCTATACTAATATTATAAAGAGGTAAAATTTGTAAGTTTGTATGTAGGGGGTAATGTTTGGAACCGCTGGTCGGATTGCCAAAATTATTTCACTGATAGATAGCTACAATGTTCCGGAGTGCTATAGGCTATAAAACATCACGCTACGATCAAATGGAGCCGAGCAGCGGGTGAAACCGCGTGAGAGTAGCTAGTTAATAATAAATCCGAGGAAGGGAGTTGTTCGAGTATCCTTGAACAATAGTAACGCTGTGTTTTAAATTCCTATTACCTCGAAGCTCAATTGTATACCTACATAAAGTTAAACTGCTAGAGAAAACAGTAGAGTCTTTTATATGAAAATTCAAATTATTCTTCGCGCATCCCATAATATTTGTTGGCGCAACTCTTTATTGTTGTAATGTCTCACAATTCACTCAAAATGGCATTTCTCCACAGACGCGGGCGCGAGCTGGCGAGTTATGGCCGATGGAACGGCCTGAAGGCATGCCAGTAATACAATCGCTAGAGGTCATGTGCGGGAAGGATCACATGGACGTCCATCTTACGTTCTCTCACCCCTTCGAAGGCATTGTATCGTCAAAAGGTATGTATTGTGTGTCCATTTTAATCATGAAGTATTAACCAAAGCTTAGATGTATGCAGATATAATTTATTGCATAGTACAGCAATAATACTTAGCATGTCATCTGCAAACTAAGATTAATTGATTTGTACAGATAAATTTATTGATGCCCACAGAAACTGTCACTGATAGAAATATTACTGGTAATGTAGGTGTTAAAGGTTTTAATGAAAATGATACATCAGAATAACTAGTCTGCAATTTCGTTAACATAAATAAAAAGCTTGATAATAATACAAATAAAGATAAAGTGCAAGCTAGTAATAGAGCTCCCCATCACAAAACGGTAGAGGCACACGAGGAAAATGTTAGAAACCGGTGTATTCAGACCGCCACTAATTGTTGTGGTAGTTGCTAAAGTTTCACTAACAATTATGACGGATACATACCTACTTAGTGAATTATTAATAACACATGCTCCAGTTGCGAAGCTTAAGTACGCGATACAGTTATACATATACAGTACTTGGATTTTGTTTAATTCAATTTATAGTAACGTTGTAATTTGTGATGATATGAGTTATTTCTCTGATAACATCTACTGTTGGTCTAGTTTTATAGTTTTCTTTCATAATGTGGACCGGTAAAATGTTGGTACAGATGTAGGCAACGAAAGTGTTTATAATGTAGGTTGAAATGAAAAGAAATTATGTATAGGCCAAAACATGGATAGGTAAAAATCGGGTCTAGTTTAGATATAGACTATGGTAATTGGAAAGAGGTCTAAAGAAAAGCATCAACCGGGGTAGCAGGTCTAACGCAATAATGAGCAAGAGAAGGCACGGGGCGCATATCAGTCAGTAAGAGTCTCACACTCCGCCTTTTCCCATTAAAGACGGTAGAAAGCTTTTGATGATTTTCCATCCTCAAAAAAGTGAGATTTCAAATACAAGGCGATAAAAATTAAAGTAAGTACTTATCAAATAAGATGTGATATGACATGAAATGCATAAAAATAATGCTTCTGAAGCTCTCTTAGAATACAATCATAATGTCCAAGAATGTCGGTAAACGCGATTGGAGATCTAAGTTCAGCTACGCAAAGTTCGATTTACTTTGCGACAAAAATAACAGTGAAATGACGACTAGCGACATACCTACATTTAGATCTTCATATAGATGTCTGAGTACATCGTATGATGTGTTTATTACTTTTTCTTTATAATTCATTTATTTTATAGATTCTTCATTTATATTTGACATTTTGAAATCTGGCCAATTTCTGTATCCATAACCGTAATGATAACGTATATTTAGAATGTATAAAGATTTTTGAAGGCCATCGGCTAGTTATGTGGTCAATAAATAATTTTTCCGTATATTTCTTTCGTGCATGAAGGGGCAACGAATAGATACTGATCTTGGCTCGGGAGGCAGCTTATTTTATGACTTATTTAAGTCCTAGCGACTATTTGGTAAACAAAAACTTACCATCGATTAAGAACGCTAGGGAACAGTTGTTTTGAGTATTCATGGGCGACGCTGATTGCTTACCATCAAGTAATCCAAATCCAAAAATGTAGATGACAATCTAATTATTAATGTGATTTTCTGCTCATTCGACTACATCGCATTTAAAATATATATCCTTCAAGTTCAAGAGTTTCATTCACATTTTCTCAATAAATTCATTAGTCTGGATAAGATTGCCACGAAGAGCTAGGCTGTTCATCTATTTTATCACCAGTTGTAAGTTCCATTTTAGCATCCACTGCGTCTTTATTATCACTTGCATGAATTGAATTACTCATTCGTTCTATACGATTAAATATTTAATGTTTCCTTCCTCTACTACTCGTTTAAGCATTCTACGGCCTTTATCCCAACACATTACTTTGAAGCCATTAATACGGTTTATCTAGGCAACGATACTGAGCTAATGTAAATAAAGTGCAAGCATGTAATTAGCAATTAACATACGCGTATAGTCGAGACTTTAATTGTACTACTTAGTTCTTTGTATTCTACCATTTCCTATAGAGACGATGAATTCATTTGTTCTGAAGAATATTTGTTTTCTTTGTAAGTTAACTATAAGATTTTTGGTCTGCGTTGAGTTTCTTTTGGTTGATACCTAATCATGATGATTAGTATAACTTGTAGCTCCTTTAAAGATTTTTAATACATTTAAGAGGTTATAGTTATCTTTGTTATCTATTCGTTGTCCTTTCTTAACCTTTTACCTTTCTCTATACTAGAAATTATCAAATAAACTATAATAAGCATGATCATTAGAAATAAAACAGCATAAAATATGTAAATTACCTACTTTTTAAGTCAGTTAACAAACTGCTAAATAATCTTTTTATTGCATCTAATGATGTCTCAAAGCAATTTTCCTTGTCATAATATCTAATAATTAATCTGATAATAACTTTGACATGTTCTCAGGTCAACATGGTGACCCTCGATGTGTGTACGTGCCGCCGTCAACGGGTCAGACGTACTTCTCATTTCGGATCGCATACGCCAAGTGTGGCACTAAACCAGGTAATTATACTGTTAATTATTTATTAAATGGTAATCATAATTTATTTTAAAGACTTCTTCTTTTTCTTTATATGGTCTAATGAAGATTTTTGTATACTTTCCGAGTAATGTCTTCATTATAAATTTTCAAGTACTATCTGTAGCGGTTTTGGTTCCTTAATGAGAATGATATATTTACTTGTATGGTCTATAAAGTACAAGTAGAAGACAGACAAGCTAGTGAATGCTAGTAAACAAATGTTTGGTATAGAAATAGTACTAAGCAGCTTCTGAATTAAAAAGACCGAGAAAATACCATCAAACATTTAAGTCGTGGGAATTCAAATATCTCATAGCAATTTGCGAATAAATTCCTTCAAAGACAAGACTTGCAAAATATAGGGAAATTACGAGTTAAGGCAAACTATACACAGCGAAGGTAATTAAACCTCGTCTCGGTTGGATTAGTATAAATGGACCGTGAGTAGTGGCGTGAAATCAATAAATATATTCGATGCCTAATGATGCGAACTGACAATTAGTCGATATAATAAATCGATTGATCGTACATCATTCTGACATTGTTCATGCTCGTCCTTTGTTTCGTAAGTGTAGCTCTTAACTAGTTCAAATAAATCGATTTTGCTAGGGCATTGTGCAAAAACTTTATTTCAACCGACTTTTTCCTGATGAGTTGTGAGATCCAATAAATAATTGACTGTAAATCGTAAAAATACATTGTCTTTATACTAAAAAAACAACACTAAAAATATGTTTTGATTTCAAGGTGAAAGTAAAGAAATAAAGTTTATGGCACGTACGCAAAATTTCGTACTGGTATAATACGGCCAGTAAAAAATACGAGGTACACGCCTCTTAAGTTAAAATTTAATAACTATTTTTAGTCTAGCTTTTAAAAAAACTATTCAAATGTTAATTCATTAGTTTTAGTCTGTGTTAGAATTACCAATGTTAATTAAAAATATCCGTTGTCTGTTATTTGCATTTTAGATTTATGATTTTATTCATTTAATGCTATAGAATTGCCATTTTTATATTAGCACAAATTCTTTGTTCTTGTTCATATAAATTTTGGTTGACAGATTATTTTTTTATTTAATTTTATTAAATAATAATAAAGTTTTAGGAAAGTATATGCCCGCTATTATAACTATTCAGAAACATTTTATCTCCGGTGCTGGGTGTAAGCGCAATATGTACCGGAGCTTTGGCCCGGTGAAGGATCAAGGACGGAATGTTTTTTTTTTTTGTTGTAGTAAAGAAACTTTAACACTCCCAGAAGACATTCGATAATTTTCCCCACCCAATAAAGAAACCAAAGAAAAAAAATATACGGTGCACCCATGACGAAATAGATGTTGATAATTTCACTCCTCCTCCTCCAGTTAATATTGATAATTTTACTAACAATAAAGTTAATAAGTATAAAAAGGATGAGAATAAGGTAGATAAGAAAAAAGCCAACGTTGTAAGGCTCGTTAATCCAACTGCTTTTATAACTAATTGCTTGTTTACACTTCAGTGCAAAATCGCGATCCGTCACGCCAATGAAGAGAAACGGCTGGCTATTCATTCCTTTAGTAAATCATCTAAAATTGTGATGCGTAGACATTTATGAGCACAAATAACCGTTACATTTATTATTATTATTGTTCTCATCTGTGACGCTTTCGAGGATCCTATCTTTGTTAACTTAGCCAGGCAAATTCCAGAGCAGTTTAGATGGATGATTGATGTATGTAAAATAAACTATTACAATTTGCCCGTTAATAAAAAATTCAAATTTAGAATCTGCACTTGTTAATAGTTACAGCTTTATTGAGTACTAGCACCAAAACCCTTATGTTCACATTTTATGTAAATAAACACATGCAATTCGATTAGAATAAAACCTCTTTTGTTTTTAATAAAGGTAATCTCCTTTATAGTCTTCTCAACAAATACTAGTTTGATATCAACTCTTCAAATATAATAGGAAGTCTATTAAACAATATCTGGATAAATGACCACAATGAGGACAGCCAACTATTCAACCTGTCAAACGATACTGTCTCAAGAGGTACAAAGTTATCACCGGAAAGAGCTAAGCGTACACCCACTGATGTACGTGGGCATTAAACAGATTACAATGGCTTTATAGACATTCTGTTAACCTAGAACGCAGGGTACTTAGGTAACAATGAGTTTGGGATGATATGGACGCCAATTTTTTTATTTTTAATGTAGATAAAAAGAATATAGCCTCACAGAAAGTGTGGGAGAGCCATGCTTCGGTACGAATGGGTCGGTTCGACCGGAGTGGATACCACGGCCTCACAGAAGACCGGCGTGAAACAACCACAGCGTTGTGTTTCGCCGTGTGAGTGAGGTTACCGGAGGCCCAATCCTTCCCCGCCCCCAATCCCTCCTAAATCCCTAAATCTCCAAATCCCTAATCCCTAAAAGGTCGGCAACGCACTCGTAACTCCTCCGTTGCGGGTGTCCATGGGCGGCGCTGATTGCTTACCATCAGGTACCCGTCTGCTTGTTTGCCGACCAATTACATAAAAAATAGAGTTTTAAGCAATATGTGAAAATAAAATATGTATTAAAGAAAGCAGTGTTACACCACTCAAGAACGGCTGAACCGATTTCACTAAGAGTTGGAGAAGATGGTTTAGCGGAGGGAGTAGAGGAGGTAGTTTAGAACCAGGAGAAAAACATAGGATAGGGTAGAGTAGGGTGGTGTAGATAGTATAAGTAGGAAACTAGGTAAGGTAGTGTGAAGGTAGTCAAATGACGATAGCGAAACCGCGAGTAAAATTAGATAATGAAAGAATATAAATGCAACGTGGAAAAAAACAGCTAATACAGAGAAGTGTGTGCACATAGTCTGTCAATGCTTTTTTTTCGCGAATATGTCGAGTACTGTGAAGTCGAATTTGATAAGCAGGGTAACTATGCCTACAATACGATGTGATAAATTGGTTTTAACGAAACATTTTATTGCTATTCATGTCATTTTTAGACAAAAGTTTTAGTAAGTTTCTAACTCAAGGCCCTACAATGCAAGTATTGCAGTTTGCCCCTGCATCTGGACGAGTTTTAAGTTCATGTAGTTTATTTGAAAACTCCAAGGTTTTGTAAAAATGTTTCGGTTTATTGCTTTAGAGCGATCCAATCATGTATTGAGAAAATTAGGTTATTTAGCGAAAACAAAGATCTTTTTATCAGCATATAATGTAATAAATATTCTAACGGTAAATGTAGGTACTGGTTTATCGCTTCTTATGTAGTAAATAGATACCTATTATGTATGAATAAAATTATGACTCTTTTATAATACGCTGCCTTTGTGGTAAGCGAGTTAATTTGCTAGCTACAAGAGACTCTAAAAAGGTTTCATACGTCGATGGTCAATGGCCATAAAATAGTTTAAAAATGGAATGAGCAAGACTAAAAAAAATGTTTCTACTATCTTGTCACGAAACAATAGAAATTATTCATTATGAGTAAACCTCCTTCTTTCAAACTTAAATTAATATTATAAGAAATTTAATTTTCCACGTTCTATTTATGATTTGTTTATATTTACAACAAATTTAAATAAATGTGTGTATTTTCATTGCCTGGTTTTGTATTGATTTTTAAAGTTTATAAGAGGTTTAAGTGTGGGAGAGCCATGCTTCGGCACGAATGGGTCGGCTAGACCGGAGTGATACCACGGCCTCACAGAAGACCAACGTGAAACAACCACACCGTTGTGTTTCGCCGTGTGAGTGAGGTTACCGGAGGCCCAATCCTTCCCCGCCCCCAATCCCTCCTCAATCCCTAAAATCTCCAAATCCCTAATCCCTAAAAGGTCGGCAACGCACTCGTAACTCCTCCGTTGTGGGTGTCCATGGGCGGCGTTGATTGCTTACCATCAGATAATCCGTCTGCTCGTTTGCCGACCAATTACATAAAAAAAAAGGTTTAAAATCTACACAATATATTATAGCATATTTAAAATCTTTATAGTCCTTAAAATTATTCAGGATAACTAAATGTGATTGAAAAACAAAAGAATGTTGAAATTTACCAATCCCAATCCAAGATTGTGCTTATAAGACAGTTTTTTGTTTTGATAACGAAGTTTTGTTGCTTTTTTTATATTGATTTCTATATATTTTTTAATAAAGATAAAAGGATTAGTTTGTGTACATTCTATAGGAAACAATTCGTTAAAATTAGATGTTAATCCTGGTCTCTATAGAATAAATAGATACTTAGATTGATATAAAATCATGAAACTGATTCCTCGAGGGTTCTGGATCCGTTATCCTTGTAATGCGTAACCAGGCGAGCATTTTAGCATCACGATTATAAAGACATACATACATACATTTTACTCAAAACCTTGCCGTGAAACTCCATAAAGATCAATTACTTTTTCAGATTTAATTATTGAATTAAGACACTTGGTAGTTTTTTCAATTCATCTAATGCTGCTGTCATTGTTTCTTTTGTTAGAGGCCGCGGCAATTTAATTAATCAGGCGATCTTAAAATGTTTGTAATTTAAAATTAACTAGTCATCGGACTTTCTATCATGCGTATTTAACGGTACTTAAATGGTATATTTCTATCAATGATTTTACGATCCGTGTAGATAGTATTGCTGTTGGTCACATGTAGCATAAATATGGTTAGGTGTCAGTTTAAAGTATGAACTATATTCTATGTAGATTAGGATAAATTTATGAACATGTCATATCAAACTTGTGGTTTACCTTTTGATGTTGATAGTTGAAAACCAGTGGCATATAACTGACTGCCAGGAAGTCATTCAATAATCACCATATATCGTCAATACCAATCTCATGTATCGCATTTAGATTCTGAGTAACTATCGGTAATTCGTAACAATTTCGCAATAAATCGCCAGCATTCAAGTTTTATGGCACATCGGTCCCATTTCAACAAAGTCAGTAAGTTTTTCTCATGTCGGTTCCTAGTCGCGTCCACTATGGCTAGTGTGGACTAACGGACGGCGCATGCGTCCCGCTCCTTCTGCGAACATTGCGCGCGCATTGTTTCTCGGAATCGCCACCCGCCGGACCACATAACACCGCACTTAAGGCTCATTTTTCCTCACACACCCGTCGCAAAGACGCCATCCCTCAATCCACTACTTTCAAGTGTATTTCCTTCCAACTATGACTTAGTAATTTCGACTTTAAGTACTTCTAGCGAAAAGTATTGCGGGTGACAATGTGAAAACGATTTTAAACCGTATGACATAGGGTCTGAATATGTCAGATGCGTGTAAACTTGGAAGATTAATGTCCTAATGGATCGCTGTTCGGAAAGGGAGTTAGCTAGAAGTCTTTAGGAGTCAGTTTTGCTTGTGTTAAGTCGACCCGAGACCACTGGCACGATCCGCGTTCTTCGGGTGACTTCCACTTTTTGCGTGAGTACATCCGCGTAGGCCAAGCAATAATAAGGATTTTAAAATTAAATATACTTTGTAATTATTTGCTTACTTTATCGTGTGTTATGGAATAGTAAATGTTAACAATAGTAACTCACAGGTACTAAAAGGTGTTTTAGTAGAATTCCTTTGCAGGTGAAACAAACCCAAAAATCTTATAACCTTAATGTCTCTTTCTCACTCTTTAAAACTTACCACCAATTCCACTTATTCCAGACCTCCACGGGCAGTTCTACGAGAACACAGTGGTGGTACAATACGACAAGGACCTGCTTGAAGTATGGGATGAAGCGAAGAGATTGCGTTGCGAATGGTTCAACGATTACGAGAAAACCGCCTCCAAACCTCCCATGGTTATCGCTGATCTGGATGTTGTACAGCTAGATTTTAGAGGTGAGTGCTTAAAACATGATATTCTTTTTATAGTAATGATGGCCCATAGGTTTAGGCGCCTGCCACTCGTTCATGAGGTTCTTCCGAGTTATATGTACTTTCTATGATGATTTAGATATCACTGACATACGGCGAAGGAAAACATAGTGAGTTAAAGTTTGGGGTCGCCAATCCGCTTTGAGCACGCGTGGTGATGATTAAAAATTCAAAATTTCTCCGTGTAAGCAGAGGCCTTTGATCAGCAGTAGGTACTTATAGGCTGATGAGAATTCTATTGGTATTAAAGTTAGTAAGAAAGAAACATAGAATAAAATAAATTGGCTAAGGGACAAAAAATATCGGTGCATTCTTTTTTAAAATAAATAGCTAAATACATATAGTATCAACATCTAATACCAATAAAATTAATAATAATATTCTACGCGTAATTTTTTTTGTAATCTATCTGTCTCTAGTATCTGTCTAGTATCTTCAGAATTGTTATGGTTTTATGAGTCCTGCTTCTGCAGCTAATGTGTTCTTCTTCCGTGTAGGAGACAACGTGGACTGCTGGATGGAGATCCAAGCAGGGAAAGGTCCTTGGGCAGCCCCTGTGTCCGGCATCGTTCCTTTGGGGTCCACTTTAACGCTGGTGGTCGCCATCAACGATTATCGAGGTAAATACCAATTTTATTACGTCTTGCGTAAACTTATATCTTTATTACAACTAGTAATATAAGTAATCAGTACTTACAGCGAATTTCTTTATGATAGCGCGGTAAAACTGAAGCCAGCCCACTCTTGCCGAAGCATGACTCTCTCACACTTAGATTGTTTATCTAGGGACCTTTGAACATTACTTCGTAAAAAAATAATAGAACCTGCTTTTACCCGAGTACGGCCAAGCAAAAGGAGGGTTATGATTTTGACAGATTATGTATGTATGTATGTATGTTCATCTGTTCCCTCATCATCATCATCATCATCATCATCAGCCCTTTTCAGTCCACTGCTGGACATAGGCCTCTCCTATTGCACGCCACTGGGATCGATCTTCGGCCACTCGCATCCAGCTCCTGCCAGCCATCTTGCGCAAATCATCACTCCACCTTGCCTGAGGACGTCCTACATTACGTTTGCCGAGACGCGGTCTCCACTCAAGAACTCGTCTACTCCAACGTTCATCGGTTCTTCGGCTAATATGGCCAGCCCACTTTGTTCCCTCGTAACTTCTAAACTACTTATCACTCGAATTCGACTGGTTATAGGCTATAGGTATAGGGTATCACAAAATCTAATGTGGCGTCCTCTAGCGGACAAAACATTAGTTTTTTTCGTAGTTGTGTTTTAGTTTTTATACTTTTTATTATAACAGAATGTCAAAATTACATATAGATACTTACATAGTATACCTAAAACGTACATATCCATATTATATCTAATATGACCATATATTATACTGTTACTCATTAACAACTGCGGTACTTATAATATCCGTCACATTTATAAAGGAACCGTGCTTAGAATTGCCCATTGTTTTCTTAGGAAACGTACAAAAAAATATTCATCAATTTTTTTATTACTGTCATTTCTTAAGCGTATAAGTATGCCTCGTTAGTTTTTTTAGTGCGTGGGATCTTAATGGGCTTAATCCCATTAATCCGTATAAATATCCAAATATGGTTTTATATATGTATAAACGAATTATGATGATGTTTATATACTTAGATGGTTTTTATTCCATATTTGTCATGTATACGTCAAGATTTTCACTGGATGTTATTATATGTAATTTGTGAACTACTAAATCGTGTTAATTGATTATAACTGCGATGAATTCCCACAAATCTACTCAATCTGTCACATAATGGGTATGACGTTATCGTTATGAGTAGGCTGTTTATATGTCTAGATATGATACATTTATAGAAAAAATGCATAAATTTGCTTAACATTTTCGATTATTTTCGATCGGCAGTATAATAGGGATACAAGTTAAAGCTTAGGTACTACTACGAAATCTTTAAATGCGTTTAAGACAAACAGGAGTTTAATGATAAAGAAAAATAATCTTATTTCTTTGTCGTTTACCAATTTAAAGTACCTACTAGGTACCTATTCCCGTTGCTCAGCTTCTTTTAGCTGTAGCGTGATGTTTTATAGCTGGTAAATGGACTATCCAACACAAAAATAATTATACGTTTCAAACCAATTGTGCCGGCGATTAGTGCGCTTAAACCAACAAACTGCACTTTTATAATGTTATAGGTATTATAGTAAGATAGATGATAGACACCAATAAATACCACCGTACAATGTAAAGGTACTAACAGTAGCAGACTTAATGATGTGCAAGCATCGATCACTAAGAAAGTTCTTTATTAGTGATCGATGTGTGCAAGCTTTTAAGCAAAATGTTTTAAATACTATGCAGCTGGGAATATAAGGAAACTTATTGATAAGATAAGGTTGTACTTTTGTTAAGTATAAAATGCTCATCTATACTAATATTATAAAGAGGTAAAATTTGTAAGTTTGTATGTCATCTTTGGGACCGCTAGTCAGATTACCAAAATTCACTGATCGATAGCTACAATGTTCCTGAGTGCTACAGGTTATAAAACAAAAGAAGCAAATGAAACAGAGTAGCAGAGAGCAAGAGAGTAGCTAGTCAGAAATAAATAACGATAAAATTAAGACTATACCTATATAGTCCTATTGAAGTGTAGGTATTTATTCCGTAAATAGGCTACAAAATGGAACATAATTGTGTAAGCTGTAAAGATTAAAATTTAATTTTAAGGCTCCGTTTCACCACCCTCATATTATAATTACCCGTTTTAATGTGACAGAGAGTTCATAACGTTCTAAATTCAAATTACTCTCTCTCTGGTTAATACTGGCCATCTTGATATTGTAAAAGATTATGTCCTAACTTAGGAATAACTTTAAGAGCCTAAAAAATGGTAATAGAAAACCTTCTTACTCCTTCATAAAATGCCAGTCTGTCAGGTGGACTAGATGTCCATGGGCGATGCTGACTATCAAGGGATTCGAATACTCAATTTACGCTTTTCCTTTTGGTAATTGGCACTTGATTTAATGAAAGCTATTTCACAGACGTTCTCTATGTACTAAACAAACAAACCAGCCTAGATGTTGAAAGGGATTAGTAAGAAAATACAGAATGAATATTTGTTTACTTCATATTGTTTAGTATCTGTTGGTTGCAAAAACAATAATAAACAGTACTGTTTATGAGCTGCAGAAGCTCCAAAGATAATGAGAAAAATCTTTAATGACTACTTAGTGGTAAGCTACCTAAATGGAAAACTGTAAGTGGTAATTAGTTGGAAACTAAGAACGGGCTTGGTTTGAACTTTGTAGATGCCAGAAACCTTAGCTATAGTGAAAACTGAGTTTGCAACTGCAAGAGTACTAATGCAGTGCAGCTCCTGTCTAAAGCAGAAGAAGAAATGGAGTGGCTTTTAGTCAGTAAGGGTCTGACACTCCGTCTCGCCTCACTCAGGGTAGGGGGAGTTATTTTGTGACTTTCAAAAATCCAAACTCTGTTTGTTTGTCTGTCTTTTCTTTACGCCTAAACTACTAAACTTATTTGTGTGAAATTTGGTACAGACGTAGTTTGGAATTCGAGAAAGGATATAGGATAGGTTTTAAACTAAAAATCTCCAGGAAGTCACTATTCCACGTGAACAAAGTCGCATTCAAAAGCTAGTCCTTAATAAGATATAGAGACAAAAGGGCAGTCATATAATAATGATAATAAATTGCTACTTGTAATTGAATTATCTTTAACTTTTATTAAAATAAAAAATATATTTTTGGGATTAAAATAAAAATTCCGAAAAAAAAATTACATAAAAATTTCGATTCATTGACATAATCTTTATTAATGCCAACTAATATATTTATGGGAAAAACACAGCCTTATAATAAGAAAAAGACAAAATCTCTGTCTTTAACGGCGTTGACGTCCAAAAGTTTATAGCTATATAAACGTATTTACATATTACGTATCTACAAAAAAATAATTTGATGGTAGGCCTTTGACAATAAATGAATAAATAATATTGTTTGACTACAAACTTCTTAGTCAAAGTTTGAGATAATATTTTCACACGTAAAATAATTAATAGAGGAAATAACACGGAGGTGTTACAAACATATTAATTCTCGAAGTTAAGAAATTTCTCATAGAAAACATCATATATTAGACGTGTCGAAGGCCTTCGATAGGGTATGGCACGATGGCCTTTTGTCTAAGCTTCCAGCGTACGGCATTTCTCCTGGACTGATAAACTGGGTAAAAGACTTCCTGAGTGGACGGTCACTCCGAGTTGTTATCGATGGATGCTCATCAGAGCCTATGTCGACTAATGCCGGTGTTCCTCAGGGGTCTGTTCTCTCTGCAACTCTATTCCTGCTCCACATTAATGATCTGCTAGTGCCTGGTATCCTTGGGTATGCAGATGATAGCACAGTTGTAGAGAGATACCTGCCCAGTGCTCGGGCTGGTAAGGAGCTAATCCAGTCTGAAAGGGAGGCTATGGTAGAGCGTACGAATGTCTCACTTCAGGTAGTTTCAAAGTGGGGCAAAACTAATCTGGTAACATTCAACGCCACCAAAACACAGGCGTGTCTATTCACCGCCAAAAGGAGCCCGTTCACCTTGGCTCCTGCTTTTCGGGATGTATCCCTGGAGTGCACCGACCGCCTTCAGCTCTTGGGAATGGACATTGCTTCAGACCTCAACTTTGGGCGGTTCATTGAGTCCAGAGCCAAGGTAGCTGCTAGAAAACTCGGCGTTCTTGCAAAAGTCCGACGGTACTTCACACCGAGTCAGCTTCTAATGTTGTATAAAGCTCAGGTCCGATCGTGTGTGGAGTACTGCAGCCACATATGGGCTGGTGCTGCGAAATGCCACCTAGCGGCTTTGGATTCGGTGGAAAGGCGTGCAAAGAGGCTGATTGGAGATCCAGATTTGGTTGGGTCCAATATTCAAAGTCTCGAGCACAGGTGCAGAGTAGCCAGCCTTGCGGTTTTCTACAGGATACATTTTGGAGAGTGTGCCCAGGAATTGCACGATTTGATTCCGCCATCCCAATTTCACCTTCGGACATCCCGGCGTACGGCGAATATCCACCGCTACGTTGTTGAGACACCTGCGGCCCGGACTAAGCGTTTTGCCTCGTCATTTATACCGCGTACCTCGAGGGATTGGAACAGTTTGCCGGCTGCAGTCTTTCCGTCCGAATACAATTTAGGTGTCTTCAAGGCTAGAGTGAATAGGCTCTTAATAAACTAGTGCGCCTTACCATCAACGATTACATCACTGCTTAACATCAGGTGGGATCGCAGTGAAGCACTGGTTTATTGCAAGTAAAAAAAAAAAAAAAATTTTTTTAGGGTTCTATAGGCGCACGAAAAAAGGTTTTACCAGAAGTATTAATATGAAGGGTTTTATCTGTCATTCGCTTGTTTTTATATTATTAAATTGGGATTAAATTCATTTTCAAGGCCATGATATAAATAAAATATTAGCTGCTTTAAAAGTTAGCATTGTAAGTTGTCTAAGAAATCTTATTGTGTGCTAAAAATACTTTAGGAAAATAAAATGTTTTAAAATAGATTCAGAAATAATAGGCTTTTTATCCTCAACTATAATATGGAACCCTCAACTCACAACGTATTGTATTTAAACGTGAACGTTTTTTACCAGCCTCGATTAACAACCATATACGTTTAAAAGTTTTCTATAAAAATAATAACAATTTTGTCATTTGATAAAAATGACATTTGCGCCTACGCGTTCTCACTGGCAATAACTTGAACGTTTACATGAGAACTTAAAAATATTATTATTTATGAATGACATTGTATGATAATTTAAATAATAGGTACGATGAAATTAATGTGTTTAATTTAAACCTTTAATCCCCATTAGTTTAATCTTAAACTTATAAATCACACGATACGAGAGTATCTACTACTATACCATAAAATATGTGTCCCAGTGTGACTTGAAACTAGCAGAGGTACTTTTCGAAATAAACCTCTGCTATATCTATGTTTTTCTGCTATACCTAATACTTATGTATTGAAATAAGTGCGAAATCGTAGTCAATTTAGCGTTAGTCAAAATCAATTTTATTTACCCACTCAGCGCCAAAATACAAGTTTATGAGTATTTTTAAACGCGTCCTTGACGCTTAAGAGAACCTTTGTTCAAGATTTTTTTTTAACACCAAGTTTTTTTTAACCCCCGAAAAGCATCCATGAAAAAAAAAGACCCAATACAAACGTACGTACGCAAACGAACAAAAGTAAACTTTAACCAAACACAAAACGACGTTGGTTAACACGAAAACTCGTAAATTCACTAGCGGAATAATGACAGTATTTACACGAGTTAACGGTACGTTGTAATTGTAAAAAGTGAACTGGACAAATATGTGGGTACGAATGAGTTTGTTTAACGGGCTCTCGCCTATGGGACGCTGGACGCTCGTCGTCACCGGTACTGGATTCCCCTCATGGATCACTTTTAAACCGAACGCGGCGACCGACGGGTTGATTGACTGACTGACTTTATTATTTATAAAGACGATATTAATTTTACTTTTTAGTATCTATATAAAGAGTAAAATTAATCAGTCGTCTGATTACAATATAATAAACACATTTATTAGGTACCTAAATGAGCGTGAGAAATGTGTAATAACTGAAAAATATCGGTAATTTGCAAGGACAGGCTGACATTTGATAGAGATCACGCAAAAGCGCGCTTTGATGAACCTTTTAAAATGCGATTTTCAACTTGTCTGTTAATGATATAAAGCAGAAATATTTTTCAAAGGAAAAATTAAGGTAGTGACTTTATCCGGGTTATTCATGATCTTTATTAGAGAGATACTTTGAATTTATCAAACTGTAATAGAAATATAATGAAATTTTTAAATTGCATCTATGTAGACTTACATACGAGTAATAACATATCCTTATTTAAGTTTATATTTCCCTCTTATGGCCGCACCACTCAGGGTAAAGGTTAACTAGACAGATGCCCGGATCCACTCTGCATACCTAAGTGGCCACCTATGCATGCATATCGCAACCAACTAACTACTGACGAATGCAACTTTGAATTTTATACCCGTTATAATTACGACTTATTTTCCTAGTTCTTGGTATTTCGTGTTTTTATTTTATTTTGTTTTGTTGTCTTGTACAATTTAAGTACTCACTACTCATCCTATTTTTTTATATTCGTAAAAAATAGAAATGTAATGATAAAAATACAATTTAAACGAACAATCGGTTGCTGATTGGATCCATACACTTTCTAAGTTTACCTCAAATCCGCAAATTGTTTGTTGTTCCGGGTTGGGCCGGGGTTGCGGGGCAAGCGCAATACGGTATCGTGGCCTCGGCCCGGAGCAGTAGAAGGAACTGGGGGTTTAGTCAGTGAGAGTCTGAAACTCTTTCTCGCCACACCTACCCTAGGCGACAAAAGTCATTTGATGTTTTTTCCTCCTCAAAAAAGAATGGTTAGCTTAGCTGCAATGCCAATATCATCTATTTGCTTAAACCTTCTCATCTTACCGCAAAACTAAAGAACAATACTCTTACTACAATATAAATCCATTAATTTTGTTTCAATTGAATCAATAGCATTTCTCATTCGTGCGTTATGAGTTCTTTTATTTAATTGACAATGATTAATGTTCTTAGTGTCAGTGATCTGTCGAAGGATTTAATAAGCTGCTGCGTGTGAGGCTTTCAAGTCTTTTGTTATAGAGAAAATTGATTCTTTAAGTTTGCCGACTGCAGTAATATTACTAGTTTTGTCGACTTTGTACTCTAATTTAACATACAAATAAAATTCAAAGTCGTCTTGTACAATTCTATCTTATAATTCATCTTCGTTCTATTTCTAACAATTATAATTAATTAAATAGGCACTTTTAAAACATACAATTGTTTCATTGTGTGCAATGCCAAAGATAAATAAATACTAAAAACTAGTAAGTTGAAATAAAAAGCATTTAGAATCAGTATTTGACTTTATAAGTAAATGCTATTCATAAGCAAATATATTATTTATTAAAATAAGCAGATGTATGATGTGTGTCGCGTTTCTTAATCTAGCTTCAAAGAAAAAAAAATAACATGAAATTCAGGTTATGACAACTCGTCTAGACATTTAATGATAATAATAATAATGGCATACATTAAACCTAGTGTTTTACAAGTAAAACATATTTCACATATGACTTAAAAAGTCTTAAAATATTCTAAAATACCATTGGCGCTAATGTTCCCGGATATAGAAATTTGCGGTCGCTTATTTATACAGACACTAGACTGTCAATACTTTCATAAAACACCTAAAAACGTGACATTTTATTCGACATCTCATTAAAGAGCATTGTGGTTTAACTTAAGACATTAGCGCAAATTAAAAAAAAACTTAGATTGAATTGTCACATAACATTAGGAGTAAGAAACTTAATGGCAGATTAGGATGGAAGAATAAAAGGATATAATGAGGTTATGATAGAAGATTGAAATTTATATGTACACCTATACGCCACAATTTTATGTCGTTTTTAAATTTTTTTATGTGCAGTATATGTATAGGCGTTTGGTGTGACAATATCTTTATTTCTTCTTAGAATAAAGTTAGCTATTATTATAATTATTTTTGTTACGAAAGAAATAATATATTTGTTACATTTTTTACTTTTTGTCATTTTCTAAAGGACTCGTTCGTTAACAATCGTAATGGACGTAGTCTTTTGGAAATCGTAGACTATAGATGTACGAAACCCTTAAAAGTTTCGGATAAGCTAAGTTTAACCTTAACATATCCTATCTATCTCTGTCAAGAACATTTCTGGAAATATCTCCATTTGCAGTACGTGACAAGGTGCGGTTTGGGCACGCGCTAAGCTTTCTTCGTTTAATGGACTGTTGACACACCCGAGTATTTGCTCATCCTTTAAGTTAAGCGATTTCTGTTTATACAACATGTTTAGTTTCCACTTAAGTGTAATAATATTGGGAACTATTCTGTTTGTTGTATGTACGAGTATTGGATTATGGTTTTGTTATGGTCCTTCAAAACGGGATGAGTTAAAGTACATACTTGTAAGGTCTTGTTTCGATTGGTGCTTCAAAGAATAATAATGTTTATACAGGATGACTTCCTTCTTCAATAGTTTTGAAGTGTTACCCGTTGTGTTCCTCGTATGTTTTATTTTATTCTGAGATATTTTAAATTTTTTTTCGTCATTCAAAAACGTCCCTTTACTAGTTACTTCTTATTATCGATGTTGCGGATCAAGCGCAGTGAGGTACCGCGACCCCTGACCTGGAGCAGGAGAAAGAACGAGGAATATTTTAGTCAGTAAAAGTGTGACTTTCCCTCTTGCCTCACACTGTGCTAGAGAAGTAATTTTATAATTATCCCCCACAAAAACTAGTAACATAAAAAAGCTGTACCACAGCTTTGAGGTGGACCGGTGTCTAATATCGTACATTATTATAACACTAAATTCCTGCACAACAAAACGCCAATAGCAATCAATCCACTTCAACGACATCTAGGTAACCAACAAAACACTTCTAAGGATTGGTTTTCTTATCTTCCAGGTGAATTCGACATGCGAGTGAAGTCGTGTGCTGCGTCAGATGGCTCGGGCCATGTGATTCAACTGTCAGATGAATATGGATGCGTGTTACGACCCAAGATGATATCACGGTAAGACGTTAATGTATGAAGCTCTTATCTAGCTTCCATCTATACACTATTGGAAAGCCAGCAAAGGCCTTAGACAAGTCGGCGCGGAAAATTATGGAGACGACTAAATATTAAATGAATATCTTTGGAAAAATATATTGAGTATTCTTAGTATGATATCGATGCCGACATTAATTAAAGAATTTAGTTGTAGCTAGGTGTGTAGAAAAGATAATTATCGATGATGATAAAATGCATGTAGGTACATTTACTGCTTCGTTTTCTTATATGTTATAGATTACTAATAACTTAGTAGTCACAGTTGCTCTAAGTGGTGTAGGTTATGATGGGCTTGCGTGTGGTTTAATTTTTTAAGTGTCGATGCGTGTTGTCAGAAGCTTGTAACCTGCACCAATTTTCAAACAGATACCTTCCCTATATTTATGCTTTTGCCTCACTGAGAAAACCACGTTCTATGAAAGCATTTGCTTTTACTCGTAATTGCAATAATTTCTAATTAATAGTAGTTTTTATAAACGTTTTCACAAAAACTTTATACTCAAACTTGGACAAGTTCAGAACTTCTAATACATATTTCACGAAAATCGCATAGGAATTAATTTTAAAAATAACTTTAGGACTTAAAATTAATTTGTCACTTCCAGGTTCCTCAAAGCCAAAGCAGTGGATGAGCGAGCAACAGTCATCACCTACGCTTTCTTCCATGCCTTCAAGTTCCCTGACGCTCTAAGCGTGCACATTAGGTGTAAGGTTGAGATTTGTAGACATGGCTGTCTAGACCACTGTCAGCTGGCTGGAGTAACTCCTCAAAGACATGGAGCTTTGGACAGGAAAGATGATAGAACACACCAGGACCATAATGAGATCAAGTAAGTTTGGTTGTTAATACGATTGGTATAGTTAAACTTATGTAATGAGACTAAAAAAATCTTTCTTTTAAAATATTGGAAGTCGAAGATTCCAGGTCACCAAGAATTGCAAAAATACAAGTATTAATATTGCCGTTAAATACAGAACAAAGCAGCTTATATATAACTTCTGTCATTGTAAAGGCAACATTATATACTGTTTAGGAGTTTATGATGTTAACATAAAACAATTTCATGGTTAAAGACAAACACGTCCCAAGCAATAACGATAAATTATTTATTAAATAAATTAACTACAAACTGTTCATCATAATTTCTTTCCCAGGGTATAATACAATGTTAGTGTTACTAGTTACTATTTTATAGACCCCATAATAATAAAGGTCGGAACCTTTTGATATACGCTAACCTTTTCCCAGTCCCATTACTCGACTGACGAGGCAGTTAATCAATATCAATAATGCAAGCTACGACGTAATGCTTGACAAACTTCCTGATTCATTCAGCAATTGATTAAAATTAACACTATTACAATCCACAGTGACTCATCAGCTGAAGATGGCGGTCTCTCCGATCTGTCAGAAGAAGCCCGTCTTCCTCTTGAAGAAGCTTTCGGTGATGAAGTGTCAGGAGATGTTGTTTTGGCACCAGCGCCGCTGCCACAAAGAGCACCAGCACCTGTTATTGAACCTGAAACCGATCACATGTCTGCCGTTGAAGAATTGGTTGAGGCTCTTGCTAGACCCTTCACGGTGAGTATTTTAAGTGGCTTCTATTCCTCTGCAAATAGACATAGTTTATTATTAAATAGAGTGACCGATAATAGGCATTTGGCAGATTTTTGTGACAAATGCTACAAAAAAGGCACTTTTTTATCTAATTGGAAGTGGGAGTAAAAAATACTTAAAAGTCTTAACTAAAATTAAGATGGTCGCATATATTTGGATGTAATGTTATTAAAATATTTCAGGATCGTCCTTCTAACATTGACCGAGAACGTTTCCCTCATGGACCTCGTAACTTTGGCACTAACATGAGTCCTGAACCTTCTGGCGATGGGGTGGTACCCGCTAAAGCACCAGGCCCAGCTGTAGCTGGTCCCAGGTCTCTACGTAAACGACGAACCGTTCGGGACGCTAGATCTGCTGATGTTGGTGTTTCGGGAATATACGAAGTTGTCTCTGAAGCTGATTTGGCTTTTGGTCCATCAAGAACTGAACCTGTCACTGTATTTAGTGGACGGATTCGTGAAGAGGTAACGCGCTATCCAAATTTTTTATAAATCTTTTTCTTTATTTGGAATCTAAATTAATATTAAATTTGTTAATTAATGTTTTTCAGGTTGTATACGGAATTTGTATGGGCGCTGTTAGTTTCGGCGCTCTCTTTGCTTCGGCCGCTGGAGCTGCAGCAGGAGCGGCATTGGCTGCAGCAGTTTTGCTCCAAAAACTTCGCTCACGGATGGCAGTCCAGCCTCCAATTCCAGTATCTCCGGCACCGGCTTCGCACTCTCTTGCCGCGTGGATGGCTCTTCGTCTCCTTGGCTCACAACCTCACCCACACCACTCCCGTGATGGTTGACCCATCACCCCAACCACAATCCTACCGAAGACTGTTCTTAGATGCTAAATATTTTTCGAATTATATTTCTTCTCCCTTTATTATATAGTTATTTGTAGCAATTTCTCTCTTCCCTATGTGTATAATATTGAAGAAATTATATTTTCTTCCAAATAGAGTTAGCTACCTGATAAAAAATAGTTTTGTACCCTTGATTGGAATTAAAAGGTCAGTTGCATCCATGTATTAGATGTTAGACTCGCAGAAAATTATTTATAGTATGCTTATAATTTATATTAGTTCATAAGTGATGTTTCTAGATCGCCTTAAATAATGATGCTAGGTCGTGCTACGGACGAAGTCCTAAGAAACCTGATATTTTGAATGTTTCACTCGTGTGAATATTATACATTTTTATACCGATAAGTTTGTACAGATTTTTTTCTATATTATTATTGACTAACTTATTATCATTGTCGTGTTCTTTAGTGTCTCTAGGATAAGTATAAACGTCGAGTCATGCCATTAGTGTAAGGTTTAGTTAATTCGTTCGATTTCGAGTTTCATGTACTTAGCACAATTTACGAATAGTGTGAGATGACGCAAACATAACATTGATTTCGATAATTTTGGAATCGGTGTTATTTGTTACATTATCTTTAGGTACTGGACCTCTGAGGCTTTAGGCATACTACATCAGTAGGTACCTGCTCCATGTTTGCTATTCATTTATTCATTGGTCACGTTCATTTTATTGGAAATTAATTTTATTATTTATTAAATTTATTTGTTCTTTTATTTAAAAACATATTCATCGTATTGACTTTACACGTTATTAAAATTTCTTAACTTTTTGTAATGATAATGATTACGCCAGTAATTTAATAAATTATTCGAATATATTTCAAATTAAATTAAAATAATATTTTTATTTCAAATGATAGCTATGCCAACTAGTGTGCTTTACATTTTATATTTATCTATCTAGTTTTAGATATTTAGATCAAGTTAGACAGTGAAATACAGAAATATAAACTTATAAAATAACTATACGCATATTTTTATACTAAGAACTTTTTATGAAGTTGATAAAATTATTCATATTAAGTACATATTTTTATATGATTGTATAGAGAGAAAATATTTCAAATTTAGGATTATAAAAATACTGTATCATACAATTATTGTTCAGACACCAATGAGTTCTAAGTAATAGATTAATTCATATGAAATGAAAAAAGAAAACGCATTTATTTAAGCATTTATTTTTGTATTGCTCAATATTAAATGTAACATTTTTTTAGCTATGAATAGGTAGGCTTATTTTAGTTTCATTAGCTAGATTTATATATGGTTTTAGAGATCGACAATTTTTTTGGATAACTATTTTAATACCAAATGGATTTTGTTTTACACACAGAAGGTTAGCTTTGATCATTTCGGAATTGATAAATGAAATAAGTGTAGACCGTCGTTTTAGGAATTCAAAATGTTTTTCTAAGAAAAGAACAAAAAAATTTTTAAACTATTTAAATAATAACTGGATCGAGATGGGTGATTCATCTTGGATTTTTTTTGTAAAAGCCTAATTTAAAACAGTGTTTTAGGACTGAAATCTGGTATTATATTTCGGCCGAAAAACTTTACTCCGTAATAGTTATTTTTTAATATTCGCAGTCGATCTCTAGCCAAAATAAAATAATAATTACGACATGCCACCCAAAAATCTTGCATTTATTATAGAAAAACTATTATTATTTAAGTCGAATAGGGTTTTCTTATGAAAACTATCTTCCTAAGTGCAATTTTACTTTTTATTATTTAATTAAATGTATTTATATTGTACTTTTTATTCGATATATTTTATTATGACATATCATACGAGGAGAGATAAAAAAGAGAACAATTCTATTTATTGCTCCTGCTTGCCCTTTGTGGGGGATGTTATGTTATTTTCTATGGTTATGGTGTATGGTGTATCTTGTGGCAGTAATTCTTTTATAAATATTATTCTGGGGAGTACTTATAAATAAAATGTATGAACAAAATGTTTTAGATTTCACTGTATGGATGCGGTGACGATGTGTTTAACGCGTAAGCACCTGTTAATTTGTTTAATGGATTAAAAATTATGTTGAAACATATTTTGTATATTTTTATTTTAATATTTTTACAGTCCTTGTACAATTATTCGGTTTCTTGCACTGTTTTTTTTTTAATAAAAGCTGTTTATTTCTATTAAAACACAGTTCTACACAATTCTTAACTTAATCATAAAATTAAAAAGAAAAGATTTTACAGTTAAAAGTGTGGTATTATATAATAATAAGTGTGGGAGAGCCATGCTTCGGCACGAATGGGTCGGCTCGACCGGAGTGATACCACGGCCTCACAGAAAACCCTCGTGAAACAACCACAGCATTGTGTTTCGCCGTGTAAGTGAGGTTACCGGAGGCCCAATCCTTCCCCACCCCCAATCCCTCCTCAATCCCTAAATCTCCAAATCCCTAATCCCTAAAAGTTCGACAATGCACTCGTAACTCCTACGTTGCGGGTGTCCATGGGCGGCGATGATTACTTACCATCAGGTAATCCGTCTGCTCGTTTGCCGATCTACTACATAAAAAAAAAATAGGTAGTTGCTATTTCAATACAATTCATTAAGTGTCGCTTTAATATGTTGTATGTCTGCCTTCTATTTTTGTTTTGCATTTTACAAACTATGTGTTTGTTAGGGAAGGAAGTGTGTTTGCCTGTAGGAACTTCATTGCTCTTTTGTTCACATTCTGTAATATTTTCTTTGACCTCGTAATTGATCATTATGGACAGATGATGATTAATGAGGAACATATTTAAATCAGTAAATGGCATTTCACTGTCGACTGTGCAATTTTTTATGACGAGTTTTATAGATTTAGGTTTTTGTTCAGACAGGGATGAGACTCGAGACGACGAAATTGACGAGTCCCTGGGCTATGAGACATAAGTCTCAAGTAGACACCCCGGTAATGGGTACCAGGGTGTCTACTTGAGACTTGGGATACTACGGGATTTTCTACTTGAAACTAAGTCGAAAATTAGAATGCTTTTCAAATTTAAAAATATTTAGTGACATTTTCGCCTGTGTCCTGGGTGCGCTACCGAAGTTGAGCCTAGCCACTGCGTCACTGTACAGTCAAAATATTGCAATTTCTTTTTCAAACTATTGAAAAAGCCTAACAAATGCTATCTGTTACTTGAATGAATATCCTAACTAGCAAAATCAAGACTTCTTTGTACTTCTGTACTTTACGTTTATAACAAGCACACTAGTATGTTGGATTTGAGTCTTGATAGGAGTGGACTTCGGAACTATTGGATAACACAATTGTAATCACGCGGGTATTAACGCGAAAAATAATCTGTCATCAGTCTGCTTGCGACCACGACCTGTGTGGTTGCACAGGTCGTGGTCGAAACGTCAAACCTACCTAAGTATTTAAATAATGATTTTTCGCATTAATACCCGCGTAATTATATGTTGTACATATAAAACGCAAAAGTAAAAAAGTTAGTGTAACACTATTTTACTTATGATTTCCCAAGCCCTAATTGAGAGCGCTGCTGTCAAATTCATAAATCGTATTAGCGCGTGTTCCCCTCGTGCCGACACATAGTAGTTACTTCTTACGTGTATATTTTTTGAATTCTAGATCTTATTTCGTTATCAAATTAGAAAAGTTACGATGTACACGTATTATAGGTGTAGACTAACCTTCTTCCTTATAGTTTCTCATTCTCAGATCTCCATCATCAGTTTTCTAGACAATGGGTCTTTTGGATGAAGTGGCCACAAAACTCAGCTAATTTTAAGCCTACAAACTTTGTGCTTTATTTGAATAGAGAAATTTGTTGTATGTTAGCTGATCAACATTATTGGTATATTCATATGTCATACACATATTTCCCGTACCTATTTTTCGCAGATTTTCCACTTGACCCAAAGGTTGACTGGTAGAAAACTCCATATGGCATTAAGTCCGCCTTTTGTACCAACTTCATTTCATTATGTACAATAAAGCATAAATAAATAAATATGTAAGTAGGCATAGAAGCGCTTTATGGATGGCACAAACTTCTCTAAGGTGTACAATAAATTGTAACAAAAGCTGCTGTGTTCCGTGTTTATCCATCTTAGAAGAGAGATAACATACTATTGTTATAAAATTTAAATACTTCATATTGTTACTGCTTAGTTTTTTATAGGTAATTTTTATATATTGCTATAGGCTTAATTGCCTGAAATAAAGAATATTTAATTTAATTTAATTGTAATAAAGATTATTGTTTATTATTACCTACGTCAGATCATTGTTGGTTACATACCTTCGATTTATTGCGTAGTGTCTCAAAATTTGCAGCAAAATCTTAGCATATCTGGTGTGCTGCGAACGTTTGTATTACAATAGAAATGCGAAAGCTTGGGAATAGTTTTGGAAGGAATAGAGAGCCCTTTGTATTAGTCTGATTTCTTTTAATCCTAGGAACGAAAGATGGTGCAGTGGCGCTAAGGTAAAGGCTTCATATTAACTTCCGAGTCGATAGACTTTTTTAGATATTATGGACATAGCTGACAAACGGTGAAGGAAACCATCTTTAGGAGACCTGACCTTATAAGTCATTTAGTTTATAAGTTTGAAATCATATATCTGCCTTGAGTGTTCGTGATAAATGCTGAAACCTCCTCGGTGTGAGAAGTAACCTTTACTCAGTCAGTAGAGGCCACTTACAGGGTGGTTATGTGATGTGTGTAGGTATAAAAAAATAAATGGTAGTCATTGAATTAGGCACTATTTTTATTAGCTTACTTAAGTAAAAAGGATCTTTTGAATTTTCCGAAATATACCAAATGGACGCCGTACTATTTTTCAAATCATTTTTTTTTATAATAGCACACATCTTTTTTTTTATTTAAAGTGATTTGTTGTATTGTAATATAAATTCTGTTATAACAGCATTTTATTTTAATTTAAACTACAAATTATTATCGGCTTTGACGTTTGCAGAAATAAAACACCAACATGTCCGTGATAAAAGTTTAATTTTCCAAATGTACTGTTACAAAATTTTATAAAGTCATCAAACATTTGATGTGGTACAACCTCAATTTGAATTATTTAACTCGTTTATAAAATTATAATAATAAAATGAAACATTTAATTCCATTGTAACAATTAATAAACCTTTATAATAATTATAATGCGAAGAAAAACAATAAAATAAGAAGAAGAGGTACTCAGGTGGTATAAAATAAATAAATCGCTATACGTACTCGTAATAATGACTAAGACTTAATTAAAAATAAATATATTAATACTAATGACAAGTTATTTTAAATTACATTCTAGCGGTTCACCTAAGTTGATATTCCGTATGATAAATTTTCCGTTGCCCCTACTTCGAAAAATATTCGAAAAGAGGTAACAGAAGATTGTACTTACAATATTTAATACTACATTTTGTGTTAATAATTTGTTCTAACGTCGCAGAAACAACAAAAGAAAACGTACAACAAGTTAACTCAACAGTTGATGTCAACAACGATGTAACAGGTAAGGCTGAATTAAATGTCAATTCAACCAAAACGCAAAATAGGAATCAATACGATTAAACTGAAGTTCAACGGACTGTCAAGTTACACATACATTGAATTAATACTAAATAAGGGTTCCCAGATTAACTAAATTCATTTGAGCACTCGTACAACACGCAAATAAATAATTGGCATGGTCTATATACTTCAGTCTCATCACACTAATATGTACAAATTAG